GCAAGGCCAGAGTGGAAGGGTGAGGCCAGTGCTGCGCTGCCAGCACCCCACATCGCCACCGCCTCCAAGGAGCAGGGCTGGGGGCATGGCAAGGCCAGCACTGCTGGCCTCACCCCCCCCACTCTGTCCTCTCCATCTCTGCCATCATGGTGGCACCCTGCCATGCCAGTCTGTCCCCGCCATCCCTCTCTGCCTCCTAGGAGCAGGGCTGGAGACAGGGAGCAAGGCCAGTGCCGCTGGCCTTGCCACGCCACTCCGGCCCTTCAGTCTCTGCTGTCATGGCGGCGCTCCACCACGTGTGTCTGTGCAGAGCATTCTGATTGGTTGTTTCAGTCAGCATTGTGATTGGCTGCCGAGACAACCAATCAGAGTGCTCATAAAGCATTACAGACAGACAGACAGACAGACAGACAGACTAAAGTTTTTATTATATTAGAATTATGGAATTCTTTTTCCATACAGAATGCTTCAAATATCTAATGCCAGCTTACTGTTGTCACTAACTAATCTACACTGAAAAATATGCTTGTAATGACTTCATGGTTGACTTAGCAGTCAAGATTTTAAAAAGAGGTGTTCCATATTCTCTGCTGGCTTTTTTTTTTTTGGTAGACACACCTTCTCTATAGCACGTACTTCTCTTCACTTTAAATACAGTGAGTTCCCCTCATTGACTTATTAAGAGAATGAGCCTCATGCTCACAGAAGGGGATGTTGGTTGTAGCCATGTTGATCTGATATAAGCAGACAAGTTTCTTTGGGTAAATGAGAAGTCTTTTGCAAATATTTCAGGATTAATTGTGAGGCAGAGGATCAACTCAGTGGCTATATTGACTCAGAGTTGGTAAGCCCCCAGCTGCCAAGTAATAATAATTATTATTCTTTTTTTTTCACAACTTTCGAGTCAGTCACTGTCATTCTAATTTAAAATGAGATGTAAAGAATAACCACTTAGGAAAAAGGAAACATTTAAGACCCTTTTTCACAGTGAATAATACTTTTTTTGGCCCCAGTTCAGCAAAGCAGTAAAAATGGCTTTCAAATTCATTAAAGTTAATGGGATTTAAGAATGTACCTAAAACTAAACAAATATTTAACTGCTTTGATGAACAGGATTCATTTGTCATATCAAGGTGTCATGAATAGTCTTGTTGGCTCCAGTGAGATTACTTGCAGGGTGAAGTGTGACAAGTACAGCTAAGGGTATAGGAATCTGGCACTTGGAGCTCTCACTTTTCAATATGAAAGATAATAAAACTTCTTTTACATGACTATATGAAGGAATGTAAATAATTCATTACTTAATAGAAGTGTTTGCCTAGAAGTGATCATCTAAGAAGTGATGAGCCAAATGTTATTCGTTACATTCACTTAAGATGGTCTCTTAAGTCAGGATGCCTTAAGAGGTGTCATCTGCAGATTTGAGCAGACTTTAAAGACAAATCTTGGATTATTTCCTCTTAAGGGGATTTTTTGTACTTATATACTCTACAAGTAATTATTTGGTCTATGGGTTTTATTCATCATAAATGATCTCCCATCATTCTTGAACAAAAACCAGTGGAACAGACTTCTGTACTTTGCCCAGAAATTCTTATTTTGTGGGTTCACAGGAATCTGCATTTAGATGCACTTATTCAATGTCGTTTGCGAGGGGTCGAT